CCATTTAAAATAACCCGTATATCTGATACGCCAATGTTATCGAAATATGATGGATCTTTGGTATTATCACTCCTTCTATCGGTTTGAAAGGCTAGAATAATGTAGCCGGGGCCTTTTAGCGCAGTACACGTTTTAACAGACCATATTTCCTTAATAGCATCTTTGGTTATCTGCGAAAGTTCGTTTGATTCTCATTTTCGAAATGGTATTACTATAGGTTTGTCTAATTGTATCGACTTCAGCAAATTAAGCTTTAATGTGTCATTAGGCATAATAACTTGTACTCTTAATGATACATTTTCAATTTTCAATTCTGCTTTTGTAGTGCCTACGGGGTTACCATTTTATAATGTATTCGGGCTCTTACAAAACGCAAAGTCTGTTTACCAAATTGTGCCAACTTATTATCATTAAATATTCCAAATAAATGGTGTAATGGTATGCGCGTATTAAAAGAATTATTCAATAGGGGAGAGGAGGGAAAATTCCACCCAGCAATATCTAAATGGTTTGAATCATCGCTGCTATAAGTTAGATATTCCTTTATTGTGCTGACAATGCCTGTATCGCATACATTATCAATTTCTTTTCCATTTAATTCATAAGAAATTTAATCAAACATAAATACTCCAACATTATTTGCAAGCGATACATCACCATCGCCAGCCGTTTTTGTCAGTTTACCTTCAATTATTATTGCAGCATCATGCATAAGTGGAATCTCTTTGATTTATTGAAATTTCTATCATTATTATATCACTATATTAAGACTTGACATATGGATAATACGTTCGAGTTTCGATTTTTTGAATTGTTTCATCAAACTGCGCTTTTTGATAAATATCGAAAGTTTCGTTTAAGGACATTATATTCCAGCGATTGTAAAAAAAACGATTTGAGCGGGTTAAAGTGTTTAAACCTGGCAAACGCTTGCTGTTAACTGAATTTAGATTGTTTGTACCAGTATTTTTATTACAATAATTGTTAAATACCAAACCCATTATGATAATCTTTTTAACTCCAAACGAATGATAATTTCTTCTCCGCGAAAATTAAATGGCTTGAAATCCTGATTAAAAATTGTTAAAGTAATATTGGATATTTCTTGTTTATTTATTACTGGTAAATAAATAAGATTCTTGGGAATTTCGTTGATTGTATAACCAGGGTCAACGTAGATAGTGTGTGTTGGTAGATGATTATAAAAAGCGGTTCGCCCCTTTATAATATTAACAGGTTGATCTGATTTGTGTTTTTTGCCTGTTGTCAAGGTACGCTTTGAAAACCCTAAAATTCTGGCACTACTAAAGACCACCTCGTATTTTTTGCTTTGAATTTCGCAATTTAATCTATTATTGTTTGATTTTAAAGATAAAAATTTATTATAATCTTCTTTTTTCACTTTTGGAAGAAGATTTTCTGTCTTAAATAGGTTTCTATATCTAATATTTCGTAGGTGCCAGTTGGTATTATTATCACGTTATATCGCGATAAAAAATTTGTTTTTCCTAGCTCGATGTTTGGGATGCTATTGTAGAAATAAAAGCCAATCAATGCTATACCATAGTCAAACTCTGAATTAAGTTGTATCGGATTTGCAAAATCAATAGATAAAACGTCATTGTTATTTTTTAATGTAAATATTTGCGACATTCAGGCCAATTCACTAACATAAGTCGTTAACGTTAGCCACTAGAATCAGTAGTTATCGGCCAATCCTACCAATCAGGCCGTTTAAATATAACGATAACCACTAAATCTAGTGGCTAACGTTAATGACTCATGTTAGTGAATTGGCCTGATTATCTGCAAAACCACAACTAATGATAAACTATTTCCTTTTATTTTATTTCTTTTTATAAAGAAACTGGTAGCATAAATGTCCACAATTAAATTGATTGTATTTTTGAAAACATTCATTATTATAATTAATTTTAACATTTTTCCCTAAATAATTTACAAGTTTAATGGGTGGTTTAAGACCACCAAAACTATCAAAATAAATAACATAGTTGTTTCTTTTAATATAAGCCACTCAATGCATACCCAAATTTTTTGTTTGTTTTAAGCTTTTGTGCATATTTGACCAATTCTGAATCATATAGAGCTCTATTGGGTAGCCTTATTGGTAGTTTTTTTGATGTTTTTTAAAAACAGTCCGTATCCTCTCTTGAGGTTTTTTCTTCAATTTTTTTTGCAATTTTTGCGCCTATTATCGTTTTGCAACAGCGCTAGCACCCCCAGTAAGTGAGCCTATGGCTCCTAGGGCCCCCATTATCGGTAAAAGAGGTAGATATCCTCCCTGTTTGGATTCAAATGGAATTATTCTGGGTACTCTAATATTTTTACGACCTCCTGCTTTCTTTATGACTGCTCGAGCTACTCTAAGTGCTTGTACAGCAGATTTTTTTAACGAATGTTTGTTTGATACATCCAAATCTCGAACATATTTTTTAACTTTATCAACTACTCCCCGTTTAAATGAGATTGGTTGACAACGTTTTTTGTATACCAATAACCTTCATTCCGGTTGTTACTAACCAAGCAGCTGCTTGCTCACCAAATTTTGAGTCTTATCATTTCACCCTTTCTCAAGCTTTATTTTCCAAAACCCAATCTGCTTTGTGTCTGTCCCCCAAACTTTTATTTTTCGAATAAGCAATGTCGTGCTCTTTACAGCGTTCAATGGATTTATACCTAAATCACCCCTTTCAAATCTTTTCTCTACTTTAGTTCCCGGTCCACACCACTAGTAAGAGGGTAAATGAAGCTCAAATGGTAGGTTATTAATGGTAGAATTTAATAAGCACCGTTATGCTTAAAAGTCAACATTGAACTAGAAAATTTTAAAATAGGATAAAGTATTTATAAACTTTTTTATAATAATTAAACGTTAAATTATTAATTATTTTATTTTTTATTTAATTGCTAAAATGTTTAGAAAGGGTACTTAATATATTTTTAGCTGATTTAAAATGATTCCATTTGAGCAATTTATGTCAAATAAACTCCAATCGAAAGTTCCTGCTCTTATTAATTTACCAGAAAATTCATTAAATTCATAAAATAAATCCTTTCTAAAAAAATAAATATTTCCATTAATATAGCGAAATCTAAAGGAATTCCCAAAAACTAATAAATGGTTTTTAAACTGCATTCATGAAACTCGTTAACATACCAATCATACAAAATAAATGTTCTACCCATGTTTAAGTTAAAAATAGCATTTATTTTATTATTTTTTGGGATATCGAAATTGCTTATTGATTTATTAAATGCTTCATATGCAAAACTGGGAAAATAATATGTGTTAAATGATGAATTATTTATTAATTTCATATGACCATTAGGTTTTTGATATATATGCGAAAAATCGCTGTAGGCACCCAAATATTCACTAATTTTCCTAGGTCTTTTAAGATTTATACCGGAGGCTTCTCCTATTTTTAGAATCCACACTAAGCCGTTGTGAAAAATATATAAATGATTATTATTGGTTACTAGCATTTGTTGTGGATATTCAATTTGACATAAATCCATTAAATTTGATGTAGGTTACTGGTTCTGTTGTTGTTGTCGAGGGTTTTCCATATAAATATTGTATACCCATTATATCATCTTTGCTTAAAGGCATGGAATTTGATGAATAGTATGCATACATAACAAAATTATGATTGTTAGAATGTCCCAACCCTAAACTATGTCCAATTTCGTGAAGAATAACAGCAAATAAACCTACTTTTTTATCATCTTTAGGTATGTCTAATCCAAAATACCAATTTTCGCTTTTATCAAGATGAATTTCCCCACAGTAATTATGATTTGGAAAAGTTGCATGACCTAGTACATTGCCAGATCCATCAAATTTAAATGTACACATACCTCTTTTACATCGAGTTAAATATTTATGTTTAAAGGATTCAAATGATATTATTATATCAGAATTTTTTACCGAATAAATAAACTTTAAGTTTGCAACTTTTTGCCAGTCATCGAAAGCGTAAGCCGCAATTTTTTTTTGTATGTTCATTATAAGGTTGAATATACCAATGAATTATGTTTTTATCCCATCTGCTTTTTAATTTAAAAGTCTGATAGAGAACATCGAGGTATTTTTTATAAACTGTACAAGTTCTTTGGTTATTTTCCCAGTTAAATTTAAATTATAATATTCCTGAAATTGTACTAAACCTTCCTCTAAATTTACAACTGAATTATTTAAACTTTTGAGATAACCAAAATCTTGAAGATATTTTATTACAACCTCTTTATTGATTAAATTAGCAGTTTCTGCTAAAATATTAGAGGGTAAAAATAGCAATGTAATCAATAAATCCATAACCGCTCAATATAAATTATAAGTAAAGACTGATTATCTAGGAAAAAAATATCTCCTATTATTAATATCCAAAAAACAACAAAATAATGTAGTTGATAAAGAATGTTTATCGCTTGACGTCACATCCTAATATTGACAAGTCGAGACAAGCTTATCTGCAGTTCATCGCCTACTTATCTATAGAAGGCATCCCAAAACCACATCTCTCAACAGCACACCTGCAAAGGCAGATGACCCCACCCCCCTGCTGCCCTCCTAAATTAAAGAGCAGTATCTCCACCCTTATCAGTTTCGAGAAAATGTCTGTTTTAGTTTATTTAGCTGGGCCACCACAAAAAACTCAACAAAAATATTTGAAAATCTTTGAAATTTGTTCATAGTGTTTTAAAGTTATATCACAATAACAATGTCAATATTTGTAAATTAAGTACAAAATGGCTGTTACGGCTTTTTAGTTTAATGTTTTATTTATATTAGGCAGGAATATCGAACTATAAGTTGCAGTATGTCCATGTATTAGGATTTACTGATTTTAAGTGTGGACTAATAAAAATTAATTTGGAGATGCTACAAAGAAATATTTGTGATTATTACTTATGGCTAAGTAAAACAGATTATTATTGAAAGAATTATATTCTTGAAACAATTTTTATTGGAATTTTTATAAATTATTATAATGAACTCTAAGATCTGCTGCATTGTCATTTACTGGAAGACTTTCCCAAAATAGTCTCCTACTTGTTGGAATAATTGGAAACAAATTTTTCTCAATAGGCTTTTTCCTTTCTCTTGTAATTCCTCTAGGATTTGCTTTATCAGGTGGAGGGTGGAGTTGCCGGCTTGCGTTTTTGCTAAGGAAATCAAGAGATATGCATGTATTGTCTGTGTCAAAACCTGTTTTATAGGTCAATATATATTTTCCTCTTTCAGCGGTAACCTCGACTATATCTTTCATGTACGGTCTTGGTTCGGCATGTGTAAGTTTATACATTGAGGAGTTGTCAGGCCATATGAAGAAATCATCCAATTTCATCTCTTTCACTACAACTTTTCCAGAATTTGCAGACTCAAAATCGTAGACTTTTTCTTTTTTTGTAAAGATAGTTCGACCTGGTGATAAAAACTATTAGCGGCCATGAAAGTGTGACCAGCGCACAGTGCGTCGAGCTGTGGTAAAAAATTAAAAAAACAAGTAGGCTTTGGATCATTTCTTATAACTGTCATGTCATTAATTATAAATGAAAAATAGGCAATAACCAATTTTAGTTAGCCGAAGTTATTTGTCGTTGAAATACAAGGCATTAAAGTTAAAGGTTGTGAAAAGACGGATAAGATTAAATTTAAGGAAAATTGTTTAGTAGTTTGATGAATTCTAATTTATACCCAATATTAGTGTTTTGTTAAACTTTATGATGGAAGTTGATTCTGAAGGTAAGTGCTTATTTATGAATGGCTATTTTTTAGCATATATTTAAATAAGGCCTTTTACATCACATTTTAATAGAAATTGGTGCAAATTTACATTAAAAATTTTAACTTAACTATTTACGAAGATTTTTACTAATTACATTGAAAACCATATGTAGTTTTTTTATACTAATTACAAGGTCCATCCTTCTATTACTTGTTAATGTATTAGTTTTTTGCAGAATCTTGCAGACCTTGATGATATACTTTTTTGCAGATTTGGTTACCGGTACTAATGCTGATATATTTGATGCATGGGTAACAACTAAAATACAAAAGATCCAAGCAGTTGCAAGTAAAATAAATTTTTTGTTAAATATAGATGTAAATGAGTGCCCAGAGACTATCGAAGCAGAAATCAATAGAACATCCAAATATTTTTGCCTCACAGTAAAAAATAAATGTAAACAGTGTGCTAGAATGCGTCCGACCTTCCTCAAAAAGAATGAAGTTTGGCTCAAGCAAAGGTTTACTTTTCCAGAAAATATTAAACTCTTTATAACTAAAAACAAAAATTCTACTCCTAAAACAAGTCGAGGTAGACCACAAAAAAAAATTTGAGGACGGTACCACTCAAACCAAAAAGAGGAAAATAAAAAACTTACCTAAAAACTGGAGTCCAGATGAACTTAACTTTGCTGCAAAAATTTCCGCAAACAAAACAGCACCTTTAACAAGTCATAAAAAATGTTTGTCTTTGCAACAAGCGTTAGCCCTTTATTTAGATCTGTACCTTTTAGAGAATGAATCCCCAGTAGCACAAAATATTGGTCCTATATGGGGCGCATATATGCCCAATATTTTATCTGGGACCAATATTGGATTTATTTAGCCGATGTTGGCCCTATATTGGCATAAAATGGTTATTTAATATATCTTGCCAATGTTTATCCAATCTTGGTCCTATATTGGCATATCATTTTACAAACAGATAATATGTTTTATGATAGTTTGTAACATCATGGTTTATGTATGTGTTTTAATGTTTTATGTAATACATAGACCAATAAAATATATTTTCGTTATTTAAAATTGAATTATAAATATCTATTTTTTCTATTCCCAAATTTATATATATATATATATATATATATATATACACATGTATATATACATATACATATTTTACCATTTCAGTTTGTAAATAAAGTAAATTTTTTACGTTAAATTATAAAGTTTGATGTATATTTATATCAAAATTTATAATTTAACGTAAAAAATTTAATTTATTTACAAACTGAAATGGTAAAATATATATCACCTATATTGGGTAAATATTGGATCATTATTAAATAAAAATATAGGTCCTATATTTGCAAACTAAAATGGTAAAATATATGGCACAAATATTGGGTAAATATTGCATTTAAATATTGGATCGGTATTGAATACAAATATTGGTCCTATATTTACAAATTAAAGTGGTAAAATAAATGTCACCTATATTGGGTTAATATTGTATGTCAATATTGGATCAATATTTAATACAAATATAGGACCATTAAAATACAATCTGACGTTTCCATCATTGGGCCAATATGTAAAAATAATATTTTACCAATATTGGTGTGCTACTGGGGATACATTATCCTAAGAAGTACAATAAATCTATTATATCCTGGATTATTTCCGAGTCTCTATAAATTAAAACAGTACCGAAAAACTATTTTACCCACTAATATCTCGATTAATGAACTTTCATCTGAAGTTGACTTGCAAGATTTACTAAATAAAACAACATATTTTAGTATTTTACAAATAACAGAGCAAGATTTCCTAAAAGGCATGTCGAACCCTTTAACCCTAACATGTAAGTGGGGGTTTGATGGTAGCAGCGGGCATAGCCTATATAAACAAAAATTTACCGACACGGACAGTACAGATGCTTTTTTAATGTTAACAGCTTTGGAACCTTTAAGACTTATTGACAATAATAAAAAAGAAATTTGAAAAAATCCTAGGCCCTCTTCCACCATGTATTGTAGGCCCATTAAGTTTAATTATATCAAAGAATGCAAAGATGTTGTAAAAGCAGAAGAACAAAGAGTGACTTTAGATATTGAAAATTTGCAACAATTTCAAATAAACAAAAACGAACAAGAAATGGTTGTGAATTACGAGATGCTTTTTACAATGCTCGATGGTAGTGCCATTAATACATTATCTTGTACTAATGCCACTCAAAACTGCTTCATTTGTGGTGCTACGCCAAAATTAATGAACAAAACAAACATTTCAGCAAGAAATCCACGCACGGAAAATTATAAATATGGACTTTCTTCATTACACTGTTGGATTAGGAGCTTTGAGACTCTTTTACATATCTCTTATAAGTTGCCTTTTAAAACCTGGCAAGTTAGAGGCGATAATAATAAAGCAGAACTAAAAGTATGAAAAAACGAAGCTCAGAAAATTTTTAAAACAAAAATGGGATTGTTAATAGATATTCCAAAGCCTGGATACGGCACATCTAATGACGGGAACACTGCTAGGCGGTTCTTTCAAGATCCAAAACTTAGTTCCGAAATTACTGGGACACTGTAACTGTACTGTTTTTATCAAGAAATAAAATTTACTACTACAAGATAATAAAATAATATAAATGTTAAACTTCTAAAATTAAAAAAAAATTATATTGGGCACGTAAAAATTACAAAATTAACAAAAAAATGATAAACAGTACAAATTACAAAAATAACTAATTAATTTTTTCAGTAAATGTTTAAGGTCAATAAATAAAGTTTTTTGACTTTATCAATGGAGGGTGTGTCCTCCTAGATTGTTAATAACTGCTCTACACCTTCGTGTCATACTAAATATTAAATTGTCAATGACATTCTGTTCTATTTGATTCCGTTCATTTCAAGGGCAATTATTATGTTTTGTTTCACACTGTATACTCCTTAGTTTATTATTAAATACATTTTTTAATAAACCTTAATATATGAGTAAATTAAAACATGCATTTTTCTATCGCCCTGTAGATTTTTTAGAGAAAATGTCATTTGCTTGTACAGTATTTATTTATATTAATATTTTAATAGTCAAAAATAATAAAAAAAACATTTAATTAATAAGATATTATTTTTGATTCCCATCTGCATATACTCTACGCACTGTGCAGCGGTGCGATTCTTGAATGTATATGAGCATAATTCGTATACTAAATGTGGCCATTTTCGAATACTTTTTGGTTATCATTATTCTAGACGAAATTCGTATACGTCTTTCGTATACGATTTAAATCGTATGGTAGTAGCGCATGGACCATGAACTTGACATCTGATTTAGTGGATTTATTAGGGCCTTTTATGACTTCTCCTAGTCGCTTATCAGATTTAGACATAGAAACCAAGATACTTGTGGCATTACGTTTTTTTGCTAGTGGAAGTTACCAGCTGGATGTCTGAATGTTAATCATGCCGTAAGCCAGTCGTCAGTAAGCCGAAGTATTGGAGAAGACTGTAGTGCCTTAAGAGAACCAAATATATTTAATCACTTTGTTAAAATGCCTTGGAATAATGAAGAGTTGGAGAGAAGTTGCAGAAAGTAAGTACAAACTGCATAACTTGTCTACGCCTTCGCAAGTAATAATATTTACTGAAACGTGTTTCAGTTTTTATTCAAAGTATGAATTTCCTGGAGTGATAGGCTGTTTGGATTGCATACATGTGGCGATATATCCGCCGCAGATCAATGATGCCGTGTATCCCGAAGTCGTGTATGTAAACCGGAAACAGTATCATTCCATCAATGTTCAATTGGTAAATAAAGACATTACACAACACGTGAGTTCTACTGTTGTATGTTTTAGATTTGCGACTCCAATATGCCTATTTATAATGTGTGTGCAAGGTATCCAGGCAGTACACACGACAGCTTCATTTGGAACAATAGCGCCGTGTTACCCTATATGCAAAACTTGCATCGCAATGGACGTCGTTTTGCTTTGCTAGGTACGTATGGTTTTGGTGTGATGCGAAAAGATTAGTAAACGGCTTTTTAGCGGACTCTGGTTATGGCCTAAGGTCATGGTTGTTAATACCCGTTCAAGGTGCTGCCACAAAACTCACCGGAGGCCCGCTATAATGACCGCCAAATGAGTTCACGGTCACTGATTGAGAAGTGTAATGGCGTTTTGAAGTTGCGGTTTCGCTGTTTACTCAACACCGCGTGTTACATTATAAGCCTGACAAATGTTCTCGAATAATAAATGGCTGTGCTGTACTTCATAACTTATGCGTTGGCAATAACCTACCACCAGGGGAAGATGATGATAATTTGGCAAAGATTGATTTTGGAATGTACCCCGCGGACGACAATGAGCCACAAGATCTAGCGATTGGGCGACCTCGCGTGAATCAGGACCTAGCTGAAGCAGAATGTTCCGGGCTAAAATAATTCAAAATCATTTTGCAAGATTGTAATGCTATACTTTGAAAAAAAAACATTTCTAAAGAAAATGTACTTTTATTTATAATTATTAACGAAAACGACACTAGATAATCAATCTTTTAAGTAACAGAAAATAAACTCTAAATATAACACTTAATAAGTAGATAACAA